CTGACCTCCAATAGCAATGTTCCAACTCCAGCCTTAAATACTTTACTGAAATGTTCCAAGTATTATGGATCTGATTATTTTGTGTGTGTGAGAGAGAAAGAGATAGATAAAAAAGATGCTAACACAGCCAAGAACTGAAGAAGGGCAGTTGAAAAAAATTGTTCACAAATTATTTTTTTAAATTATATAAATTCCATTAACACAACCAACCCCAACCAAAATAACATTATGAGTAATAATATTGATGCTTTCTTATTTTAGTTGTACTACTATAATAAAATGTAAATAACTGGCACAGCTAAGCATTTATATTTGTATCAGAAACAAGTGTTGTTTCATGCTGACATGTTCTACATCCTTGGTTTAGGCCTATGAAGTACTTGTGGAAATTAAATAAAATCCTATTCTATTCTAATGTAAACTGAGTACAAGAATTTTGACAATACAGTTCACAAAAATAACATATCTTTATCTACGCAAGCGCACGTTGAACATGAAAACTTAAGCGTAAATAATTACTCACATGCTTTGTTATTAAACTTTCTCCAGACTTATAACAATCGATACATGGAAGGTAGGAAACTATAATGGGGTGGGAATGTAGAAGGTTTGGGATATAGGCTACAGATGTATGTGCAGTGGCCACCCTGTTTCTACAGATCAATATTAATAATTAAATAAAATAATATTAAATAATAATATTATGAAGAATAGTAGTAGCATTAATAATTGATGCCATACCATAAACATCACAGATGAAACTTTTATCCAGTACTCTGCTAATCTCCTCAGTGAGGAAAACTTTTTGCAGAGAGAGATAATGGAGGCAACATGGCAGACATTTGGGGTACTGCTGAATTTCTAGAGTCCTCTCACTTTTGCAAAGTTCTTCACCAATCAACTTATAGATAGAAGGCTCCATTTTATGTTCATAGTTATATAAGGACAAAGCAAATGCAAGTCTTTCAAGATCTTTCAACCTGGCCAATGTAATTTCATTAACAAATCGCTGCACAATCTTGTTCATTGTTCCCTCATGATAGGTATGTATGTTGGTGCCTACTAATGCAATGTGCGTGCAGCACATTTGGGAGACTCTGTCAATATGTGGCATGAGTTTGCCTATAAGAACAAACAACATGTCTGCATGTGTTGGCTGGAGAGAGTAACGTATTACTTTCATAAGAGCAGCCAGTGTAATTTCATGGATGGTATCAACTGAATTTATAATGCGTCTCAGAAGGTCAGAAAGAAGAGTCTGGCTCCTGATTGGTTTTTCACTTTTAAAGAAACCCATAGCAAGAATTCCCAGATCATCCAAAGTAAGCTGATCAAGACAGTTTTGAAGACTGTATTCAAAATCATAAACTGATATATGTGATGGAAATTTACGACGTATGTTTATGTAGAACATACACTGGACTAACTGAGAAGCAGTGAGTTTCTCTGGTCTGCGACTTAATCTCACAGTACAATGCCACATAAACTCTGATAGCCTTCCCAAATAAAGCAAGTACCAGTGATCAGCAACAAATAAGAGTTTATTACGATCCCACTTTTCCATTCTTAGCGAACACTGTTTGTCAACTGCTTTCCATAACTCAGTATAATTTCGAGAAGATGCTTTTTCAGCTGTACACCATTTTCTGAGACATGCTAATATTCCAATCAGTTCATCATCACTTAACTGTGAACATTTCTCCACCAATGTTTTAACAAGTCCATCAAATATTTCTCCAGTTATTGAATGTTGCTTCTTGGAAGCATACAGCGATATTTTCTTAAAATTAACAAAAGCACTTTCTGCAGATTCATTACTCCAGTCTTTTGCAATAATATTCTTAAAATCATCATCAGATATCATTTCCACTTCACCAAGATAGTCTTTAGACGCTAACGTGGCTGAATAAACAGGATTTGTTTCCAGTACTTTATGTGCATATTCATTTTCAGTTTCTCTAAACTCCTTAGCTGATGTTGATACATTAGTGATCACAGTCTTATACTGACCAGAAAATGTGTATGTTAACAAGTTTGCTACAGAGTTGTTCTCAAGATCACACTCAATACATTTAGAAGTGTGGAAGTCCAATAAATTTTTTTTCCATGGAATCATCACATGGTAAGATTTGTGCGTCTGCAAACCAAATTTCTGGCCTACACGATATAATGTATTTGACAATTGCGAGATAAAGTACTTTGACATGGTTAAATTCTATTATGAATAATTCAAAACATTGGTTCTTGTAAAGAGTATAAAATTCAATTATGGAATGAAAATTTCCTTCGCCATTCAAACCATTCGTACACCATACTTGTTTACGTACCAATCAGCAGGACTGCCAATCTTTAAAAGCAAATCTGAAAAAAACACCCAATGCTATTCCATGCGAAGTTTATCGTTTGTAAGATAATATACATTATTGATGAAAGACTCTCGGGCAACAAGCCGCGTCAGGTGGCTGAATGAACCATTTCCTCCGCCAACGTTTCGAGAGCCATCTCTGCTCTCATCCTCAGGGCAGACGAGTTTCGTTTTCGCAGCTTACATGACCCAGACCCGCAGAGCTTATCTATGTTCGCAGTTTTTGATTGCGTAGTGAGGTACCGTCCGCTGATTAATAAGTACCTCTTTGCTAAAGAGTCGCTCCAGATTTCTTGCTTTCCAATGCTATTAGTGGGCACTGTAACGTCTTGCGTATTGTGCTGCGCATAGTGAGCAACTTACAACATACAACTGCGACGTAACAGTAACCCAGTCGGTAAAGAAGGTTAACTACTCTTCGACCTTCAAAGTACCTCCTCCCCCGCCAAAAGAATTTTGAAATTCTGATATCGTAAGTAATTTTTGTCTCAGAGAAACTTCATACATCTTTTGGGTAAACATGAGTATATGCACAATAATTTTCACATAACTTTTATCCATCAGTTGAAGGTATCCCAGCAACATGGGAGTTCCTTAAAAATTACGTTATTATAATAAGTATTTAAAGTAGTATGATATTTATTAGGGCTGAAGTAATATTATATTACATACATGCATATACACACATACACTATGGAGATACGTATTTATTCTTATTTTATCACACACACGGACTGAATTGTTTTCTGTAAGATTATATTCGCTTGATGTTCAGATTAAAGTCTTTTCTCGGACACAGATTCCTGATACAAGACATCTAATTACGAAAATAAAATATATATCTTATGTAACAATTTTTAAACATAATTGAAATGTAAGACACATTTTCAGTGCATCGTGCATAAAACCGGATTGAAAAATAATTTTCTGTGTTCAGGAAATGAAATTTGACTGACTGTGCTGCTGAGTATCGTGTGGTGATGGAAATTTGTTTAGTAAATTAATTTCTGAGCCTCGCACGTACTGTGGTTAGTAAAGGGAGTGGAGATACAGCTCACTTGCAATTCTCTGTCAAAAATCCTTTTGTACTTAAAATCCCAAGAGAAATCAGAAAACTAACTAATCTGTCGTAGGCGGTCTTTAAACCCCACAATTTTAGTTACGTTCATACCGTAACTAATTCGAATTAAAATGTACTTTTTACCTCCACGAATTTTAATTTTTCTCACCATCCAACCAAACGTAGGACATTTTCCTACAGTATGGGAAATTTCAAAAAATTAAGAATGAGTGGAAGCGAGACATAAAGAAGACATGTAAATTCAAAAAGAAGGGAAAAAGAAAATGATAGAGGAAAGAAGAATAAAGATGTTTTTCAAATTGTTTAGCTTCAAAATGTAAGAATCCATTGGTAAGTTATTTAATGACTCTCCATCAGCTCTAGACATTATATAGCGTCAAATGTGCAATTATAAACACATGTTTGAGCGTGTTATCTCTTAATTAATTACTATAATTATCATCATATATACAGGGAACCTATAGGTTTGTTACAGGAATTGCTAGCGACTTCTGTAAATAATTAAATTATTTTCATTAGTATAAATTTCTGAAATCCGAAAATTGTATGGTATCAGTTATAATTTTCGCATCATCATATTTCTAATTTTTAATATTTCAAAAAATTACTTATAAAATTTACGAGATTATGCATGATTCATCCTTGATTCGAAAGTTATTAGGAGGGGGAAATAAACTATTGTTTATAAAATAAGGTAAATAATTTAATTGACATAAATGTAGATGAGCTTATTGTCTGACAGGAACTATGGTTTAAATACCAAAATCAAAAACTGTTTTGCACAAAGTTAGAAAACTTGACCGATGTAAATATTTATATTTAACGAATTTCTGAATGTACGATGTATTAGGCTGTGGGAGAGTATTTGTTTTGAGTAAATCACCCGAAACTTCGCTTCAAGGTTTCCTTATTCGGTTATTACAGTTTCAGGAAACGGGTGGAAGTATTAGTTCATGCCTGCTGTTGTATGTGAATGAGTCCTTCATAAGGACTCATTGTCTCTCTCACACACGCACGCACGCACGCGCACACACGCACACAAAGGCATACTTTCACTCTGTTGAGAGAAACGTTGCAAAACTTCTCAGCTACTTAACGATTAATTCAATAGTAATAGACTTCTTTTATCTTTGTGTTATATCTTTTTGTTAGCCATTTCCACTGTAATGCAATTTCGGGTTTTCTCTTCCTTTGAAAACCATCTCTCTGTACCGTATTTCTATTTCCCAGTGTCGAATTTGGACATAAAGTTATTACCTGTTGATTATTGTGTTTCAAGAAGTTATTATGTTTCAAGCACATCCGGACCGAAGCTGCAATGCAGGGGACAAAATGAACGATGGCTGTCTGCTGAGTTGTTGCATGTTGTAGTCTGGGCGAACTTCCTGATGATGGGGGCAGTAAGGACCTCTGAAACGTCGGTAAACTTCCAACAGACCACATGGCGCAACAACCCAACAAATAGCCATCTTCATACTCGCAGCGAGAACCTGATATCTCACAAACACTTATGAGAATTGAAAGATAAATCCGGTCTAATGGAATTAATTTGCAATATGTAAACTTCCAGAACACTTTTTTGTTGTTGCAATTTTGTATCATTATAGTTCTTATGTTTGATCTGTGGTCTGAAGTCCACACATACGTTTTCAAGGCGTGGTGCTTAAGAGACTGTTTAATGCGTCCTTCTATCTTCGTTGTTCTTTCAGCTATCCGTGCTCTCTTACTTCAGCCACCAATTTTCTTCGCCTGTCTATTTTATCTATGTTCCTTCCTGTCAAATATCAGTGACTGCCTGTCTTGATGGCTGCCCGTTCGCCCACAGCTCTATTGATCAAAAACCCGCCGAGCTGAAGTGTTTTACGTGGTCAGGTAAACTTGAGACCAACAGCAAATTTGGTAACATGACTTCATTCTCCGGCATCATGTGCAGTTGGAATCTCCAATTTATGTGTGACCTTTTGATGCTACTATATGGTGCGTACAGGTGTACATAAAATCATAAATCGTGTGCTGTGAGCGAAATTAGAGCCAGCTGATGTAAGGTTCTGAACTATTTCGTAAGAAATCTTCAGTCTTTCTTCATTTCCTCTAATTTACATATAAAACAAACTGCAGGTATAACATTAACTCTTTAAAGCCTAATTATTGCATGAAATATGAACTTTTGCCATCGCTTGTTGCCGCGTAAAAGACCTTAGAGTGCACAGAATAAGAAGTAAAAATTCCAAGTATGGCGGTAAAACGCTCGAATTGATGCTGCAACATCTATAAGAGTATAAAGAAGTTAATTACGTAACAAGTTATGGTTTAATGAGTATTACAACTTTTTTGGGCCTGAACTTATGGCAGTAGTTAGAGATTACAACATAAAATAAACGAATTAAAAAATCCAGTTGCGCTGCAATTTAAAACGGATCAGCTTATTCATTAAGCGAAGCCAGATCTGTGACAAGCCGAAGGGGCTGATATTTACTTCGGGTCGAAGGGACAGCAAAGTCGTGAATCCCGCTTTACGACGTCTGCTGAGGCGTGGGAAGAATGAACGAAATTGGACTGGGCTCAGGACAACAACAAACTAACAGACATGCTCGGTATTTGACCTTGTGTGAATCTTTTCAGCACAAATCAAAAGTACACTCACGAAGATATCAAGAACGAGTTACATTCTTGCCCACTGCCACTCAGTCCAGGACCTTCACACATCGCCTGTTTAAAATATAAATATTACAATACGTAAAGAAACGCGTGTTTGTGAAAAACGTCGGAAAATGAAGAAACCCCTTGAAACCGAAGCTCCTATAAATAATAATTAAGAATCCAGTTACCATTTCAAACATAAATTTCTTAATGCTGTTTAAGAAAACAATCACTGTTTATAGTGAGAATCATTCAATAACCACAAATACAATGCAGCGTTATTCATTGTCAGAGCACGTGGTACATATACTTACCATTGGGCTTTAATGATTGAAAGAGGGTTATTAATTTAATATTTTTACCTGAGTTTAAAGGAGGCAATAAGGAGACTGACGAGCTTTATATGATCAAGATCTTTATCATTTGTAGCATACTTTTCACCGCATGTTAGTTACTAGGAGGCTGAGTTGTAGCTCGAATGGGAGTTAAGGATGACAATGATGATAATACATTCAGTCTCAGTTTGTTATGTTTCATTATCTTACCAATACTAAGTGATCCATATGCATCACCAGGCCTCTTTTATGTCATGGCCCAATCCTGAACAGTCCTCTACTGTAACTTTCTTAGTCGCAAACATTTTACTGATCATTTTGTTTTCAAACACAAGTAATTTATGTTCTTTCCTCTGAATAAAAGGCTACGTTTTGTACCCATATAAAGCAACTACTAATAGTAACAATCTGGAATGCAGACTGACACCGAATTTAGGACCGAAAAATAAATAAGATTTCCAGATTTAAGTCTTCTCTTAATTTAATGACGGACTAGATTTATATTAGTTGTTGTTCCCATAAGCTCAAATTTTGATTTTATTTTAAAATTCTTATATAATTACATCGTAATTATTTACTCGATTTTTTAAAGTATAACTCACACATTCTTTTCTCTAGACAACTTTACTTTCTAGCCATTTTTATTTTCCACATTGTACAAAGAGCTTAAAATACATTTTTACTTTTTAGGTTCCAATTTAAGATTATTAGGCCTTCGTATTTAAACAACAGATAGGTGATATGAAATTTTCTTATCACGTGGCGAAGATATTTTACAGAACCCTTGTGGTGAAACTATTTTTAGCTAGAAAGATCTGTTACCTTCTGCCACAAAGCAGCTTCAAGAACAAACGATGTGTGATATATTCGTCACGGAGAAAGAAATCTCCGAGTCAACGAAGCTAAGAAACCAAGCCACTTTATTCCGCCTTCGCAATATTGGGAACAGATTCATAAGCCGGAGGAAACAGAATGATCTCCACCATAACAAACCAAACATTTCCTGGGAATGTGAAGCGAAAATTGTCCATAATTTGGACAGGAAACCGCCTCGACTCACTGAATTACAAATGTACGCTTTCGTGTGTTTCCACACACGTGCCAGGGTAATAAAGAAATACCACACTGGCCGTCATACTGGAAGGTTTTGGCCATTTTACGAGCCTTTGGTTCGTAAATGTCGTGGGAAAAAGCTATTT